CTCTGGGCACACCCTCCCTGCTGGGATCTCAGTGCCTCCTAATCTCACCTTCCCGCTCCCGACGTCTGCTTTTGAAACACAAAACAGCGGCTACGCTGCAGACAGAGGGTTTGTTTAGCAGCCACGGCGATCACAGCTCATCGGGGTCCGGCCTGTTCAGTGTCTCAGTTGAGCCCCCTCCCAGGAACGGTACCGGGCCCAGGCTTTGGAATCAACAGAGCCAGGCTCTCTGGCTGTGCGACTCGTGCCAGGGGCCACCTGTGTTTGTCCTGGGACGTCCCTCAGCCCCCGGCTCGCCAGTGATTTTAGTCGTCAGTACCTGTGACTGGCAGCTCAACGAAGCCATTCCCATCCGCCACCATCTAAGGTCTGTGGCTCTGCAGGGAGGTCGCCAGCATTCTTGCTTCCTAGACAGGGAAACTGAGTCTGGAAAGGCTAAGAGCTGGGCTGAGGGTCATCCCTCGGGACAGGGCCAGGACTTGCATGGGTCTGGCTCCCAAAGGACTGGACGAGGAAAGAGCCTGCAGCTTGGAAGTTGCCCTGAGAGAAAAGGGCGCATCCATCATGATCCTCTCTCCCCAGGAGGCCGAGAGGCCACCTGGACGCGCTGGGGCCCTGGACCTCCTGCTTCCCAGAGGGGACACACGGAAACCCCGCTGGGGAGGGGCGGGGGTCGCGCCCACATTGCTGTGGCAGCCCCACCCCACAGAGGCAGTGATGGTCCTCGGGGCTCCTTGGCCTGCTGGCTTGTTTGGTGTCCCGGCTACACAGCGTCAGCAGAAGAGAAATCAAGGACCCGAACTTTCCTTCGAGATTGGGACCTGCAAGGACCTGTCACTGCTGTGTGGACCAGACGGTTAAATGTCTGTCGGTCTGGAATAAAATGAAAGTCAGAATCGATATGCCATCCACCTGGTGAGTCTCAGAAGGAACGTGGGGTGGTTTCCAGGCTGGCCTTGCCTCCCACTCTGCTACCTCCCAGCTGCAGGACCTTTTGACGGTCACCTGGCCTCTCCCCACATCCATCTCTGACCTCTAATTTGGGTCAATGAAATAACAACGGAAACTGAATAGATAATACGTAAGAGCCCAGGTTCTAGGCTCAGACGTATGGGTCTGAGTCCTGGCTCTGTCCACTCATGACCATGTTTTCCTGTTACCTATTGCTGTGTCACAAATTTTCCCGGCACCTGCCAGCTTCAATCCACAACCGTGTCATTGCGTGTCCTGATTTCTGTGGGCCTGGCATTGGGGCGGAGCTCGGCGGGCAAACGTGCTCTGTGAGGCACTGGGAGAGGTCGGAGGAGAGTCCAGCAGTCCAGCGCTCCCAGCCTGACATTCTCAGGGTGGCCACACTGCCTACAGGGCAGGCCGGGGCTTCCGGCCACAGGTTTCGGAGACCGCAAGTGGAAGCTGCCGAATGGCCGCTTGCAAGACAGAACGGAGTTCGTCTCTCTTCAAAGGAACACAGCGAAACCCAGCACTCAACGCTAACATTCTCAAGGAAAAATGACAAGTTGTGCCCAGAAGCAGGGCGATCTGCTCTATAACCAGGAGAAAAATCAATCCAGACAGACAAACCCAGTGTGTTGGTCTAGTTTCTCTGGAGAAGCAGAACCAGTAGAAGTTGACTATAAGGAATTGGCTCACATGGTAATGGAGGCTGAGAAGCCCAAAGCTGCAGTTGGAAGCTCGAGGCTCCAGAGAGCCGAGGGTATAGTTTCCTTCTGAGCCAGAGTCCAGCTTGAAGACAGGCAGAAAAAGCAGATTCTCCCTTACTCAGACTTTTGTTCTTTTCAGACTTTCGACAGATTGGATGGGGCCCATCCACATTAAGGAGGGAAGTTTGCTTGACTCAGTCTCCAAGTCTGGTGTTAATTTCACCCCCAAGCGCCCTCATATTCACTCCCAGGGAAATGGTTAACCAAATAGCTGGGAACCCTGTGACCCAGTCAAATTGACACATAAAATGAATCATCACATCCAGAAATGACTGAGATGATGGAATTTGCAGATAAGAACATGAAAACTTATTAAAAATATGGTCCATATGCTCAAGAGTGTAGGAGAAAACACAAGGATGATGAAGAGTGATTTTAAAAAGAAACCAAGTGGAACTTCCAGAGACGAAAAATACAATTTCTAATGTGAAAAAAATACACAGGATGAGATGAACAGGAAATCAGGAATTGCAGAGGAAAAGGTTATTGGCCTTAAAGACATAGCCTTAAAAATGATCCAAAACGAAGCACAAAGAACAAAAATACCTGTGGCATAATATTAATATTACAGTCTAGTGTATGTATCATTGGAGTCCCAAAAAGAAAACAGGCAAATATTTGAAGAAATAATGGCCAAAATTTTTCTATTATTTGATAAAAGCTGTAAACCCACAGATCCAAGGAGCTCAATGAACCAAAAGCATAAGAAACATGAAGAAAAATACACCAAGGAGCATCATAATCAAATTGCTCAAAACTAGTGACAAAGAGAAAACTTGAAAATAAACAGAAAAAAGGGATACAGCATACTGAAGAGCACAGATAAGAGTGACGGCAGATTTCTCAATGGAAAGATGTAAGCCAGGGGGCAATGGAGCAATCTCTCTTTTCAGTTTGCAAAGTTCGCATCTTTTGAAGGGAAAAAAAAAAAAAGTGTCAAACTAAGATTATATACCAGGCAAAAATCTTTCATAAATGAATGCAAAGTCAAAACCTTTTTCAGATAAACTAAAGCTGAGAAAATTTATTTCCAGCAGACGTACACTATAAGAAATGTCAAGCCCGGCCAGTGTGGCTCAGTGATTGAGTGTTGACCCACGCACCAAGAGGTTGCCAGTTCAATTTCTGGTCAGGGCACATGCCCAGGTTGTGGGCCCGATCCCCAGTGAGAGGAGCATGCAGGAGGTGGCCAATCTATGTTCTTTCTCATCAATGTTTCTCTCTCTCTCTCTCTCTAAAAATTAATAAAGAAAACAAATTTTTTTTTTAAATGTCAAGAGAAGACCATCAAACAGAAGAAAAATAATGCCAAATGGAAATTTGGATCCTCACAAATAAATGAAGAGTGCCAGAAATGGTAAACATATGAGTAAATAGAAATTTATTTTCCTACTTGAAGAATAGCTTTGAAAGTAAATTGACTGTTTAGTCAAAAGTAATAACGAAGTAGCGTGGCGTTTATAACATATTGGAGTACTATACAATATATGACATTGACAACACTGGATGGGTTGGAGAGTGTACGTGTACTCTTGTCAGGTGCTTACACTATAAGTAAAGTAGTATAATATTATTTGAAAGGAAACCATACCGTATTAAATATATGTAAAAATATTGTAAAAATAGACCTACCACAAATAAAGAGATATGTCTAATATATTTGGGGGATAAAGGGGATCCTAAAGTTTTACTAATGAATCTGCAAAACAAAGCCCTAAAATGAGGGAACAGGAACAAAGAACGACTAGCAACATGGTAGATTTAAACCTAGCCATAATGATAATTATATTAAATATAAGTGGCATAAACATTTCAATTAAAAGACAAAGATTCTTACTCAGCCTGTGTGGCTCAGTAGATTGAGCATTATCTATGGACTGAGAGGTCCCAGTTCAATTGCCTGGTTTTGTGGACTCAATCCCCAGTAGGGGGCGTTCAAGAGGCAGCAGATCAGTGTTTCTCACATCGATGTTTCTATCTCTCTCTAAAAAGTCAATAAAAACATTTTTTTAAAAAGATTCTCAGATTGGATTTTTAAAAGGGAGATCTTACTGATGTTTACAATATAAAAATATACAAGACTCTATAGGGTAAAAGTAAAGGAATGGAAAAAGACATACCACGTAGTCACCAACCAAAAGAAAGTGGGAGTGGAGTGGCTGTATTAGTATCAGACAAAGTAGACTTCAAAACAAGCAGTAAGTCTAGGAACAAAGAGGAGAGACATTTCATCATGATAAAGAAGACATCATAATCCTAAAAATGTATGGACTAATAACAGAGCTTTAAAATTCATGCAGCAAAACTTGGTAGAATTGAAAGGAGAAACAGGTACATAATTCTAATAGACTTTAATACCTTTCTCTAAATAGTTGATAGGATAAGTAGACTGAAAATAAGTAGTCTAGAAAACTCAAATAACACAATCAACCAAATTACCCTAGTTGATGTTTAAAGATCACATTGCATAAGAATAGCAAAACACGCATTCTTCTCTGCTACAAATTGGCAGAGCAGGATTCCAGCCAGGTATGTCTGACTTCAGAGCCCCTTTCCCTCCCTCCACCAAGGTCTCTCAAAGACGCCACCTTAGAGGCAAGAATAGTCAGCAAATGAAGAAAGAAATGTGTGAAGTGGGACCCAGCGGGCACCGTAGAACGATTCACTGTGGGTGGTTCTGGCTCCAGATTCTGATTCTGCCAGGTGGGGTGGGGTATGTGTCTGTGTTTGGAAGGGCCTTTCTTTCATGTTTGTACATAATGTTTTAAAGTTTCTTTATGTGACTCTGTATCAGATTAGTACAATCAGAGGCTGAGTGTTATCTGTCTAAGGCAACATACTGGGTTTTCATCAAGGATATTTTTTTATTGATCAGCATCCAGACCAGGTTCTCTGGTTCTGCCCTCATGGCCAAATCTCTCACCTCTGGGCCTTCTCTGTGTTTCTGTATTGGAAATGCCCTTTCCTCTTTTGTGCTCTGAGGCTCCTACTCATCCCTCAAAACCCAGCACAGAAGTTGCCCACCTGAAGCCTTTTCCCCGCCCAGGTTTCCCCTGTATCATGTGCGTCTCTGGCCCTCAGACACACGCTTTCAGTTTTATCCTTTCTGCCACTCTTTTGGCCACCAGACCACCTACTTCCCGAGGGCTGAGGTTGTGTCCCTCTGCAGGGCTCTTGGGTCCTGTGTTTCCATGAATGTGCAGAGGACCAGAGCCCCGTGCTCTGTGATCACCCGTCAAGCCCAGGTGAAAAGTGTTGCTGTCTTTTCTCTCCCCTCAGCCTCAAAGATAAAAATCAAGGCGAACTCATCCCCCCGGTGCTGAGGTTCACAGTGACGTACCTGAGAGAGAAAGGTGAGTGGAAGTGGGCGCCCCTCCCTGGGAGACCGTCTTGGGTCCTGGGCACCCCAGCCGAGGGACCTGGAGGAGTGGGAACCCGTGCAGGGTGGGTGACCAGGGTGGGCTGGGCTCAGGCACAGTGGCTGAGCATTGCGCTGTGGACCTGAACTGTCCCATGTGAATCCTGGCTTCGCTGTGTACTAGCTGTGTGCCCTTGGGCCAGTTACTTACCTTCTCCGGGCCTCTGTTTCCTCATCTGTCCAATGGGTTAATAATAGTACCCGACTCACAGGGTTGTTGTGGGGCCCAAACGAGGTGGCACATGTAAAAGCCTCCATAGAAGGGACTCTTTTGACACAATCAATAAGCTTGGTTGGCAGAGCCCATCCATGTGCTCAGAGACTTGGAGGGCTGAGCCTGTGGCTCCTCCCAGACACCTGTGGCCAGAGCTCAGATCCACAGGGAAGGTGAAGGGAGAAGTGGTGGCCGCCTGGGGGGCGGGGGCGGGGTCCCCCAGACAGGAAGTGCCCCAGGAGCTGCACTCCGGAATCACACAGAGCCCTGTGAGACTGCGCCCTGCAGCCGGACGTCTGATGGTCATTTTGAGCCATCTCCACTTTGACTAAGTGTCATTTCTTGTGCTTTGCTTCCTGTTGTGTGTTTCAGGAGTGGACAAAAGTGCATAAAGACCAAAGGCAGGAACTGTGAAGGGGAGGGTCTCTCATTTTGTTTATTTTTAATTCTCACCCAAGGATATTTTTCCATTTATCTTAGGGTAGAGTGGGAGGGATGGAGGGAGAGAGAGAGAGAGAAACATGGATGTGAGAGAGACACATAGACTAGTTGCCTCCCACATGACCCCAACCAGGGCCAGGGACCAATCCACAACGGAAGTACGTGCCTTTGACCAGAATCGAACCCACGACTTTTTGGTCCATGGGCTGGCTGACATTCTAACCACTGAGCCAAACCAGCCAGGGCAGTGTGGGAGTGTCTCTTTTTTAAAATATGGCTACTCCTTTATTTATTAAAACCAAACATATCCCGGCCAGTGTGGCTCAGTGGTTGAGCGTCGACCCTGCACCAAGAGGTCACTGGTTCGATTCCCGGTCAGGGCACATGCCCAGGTTGTGGGCCCGATCCCCGGTGGGGGGCGTGCGGGAGGTGGCCAGTCGATGTTCTCTCATCGATGTTTCCATCTCTCTGTACTTTCTCCCTTCGTCTCTCTAAAGTCAATAAAGAAACAAGAAAGTAAAAGAGCAAACAAAACAAACAGCCCCCAGGCGCTCAGTACGTTTGTGGGATGCACCGCATCGACCACTTCCTCGTGGACAGCCCCTGGACCAGCACGGTCCAGACGCCGGGGTTGCCGCGGTGACCGCAGTGCAGCGCCTGCCTTTCGGGCGGGTGGGTGGTCTTTCCGCCACCTTTGCCCCGTGGAGCTGTAATGTGACGGCCCGGGTCTCACCTCAGCCGGGTGAGCTGGTCATGGGGACAGGGAGACACCGTGAGGTCACGGCTCTGGCTGCCTTGCTGTGTGACCAGTCCCCCAAACTCGGTGGTTTAAGCAGCAGGGACGTGTTCCTCAGTTTCTGCAGGTCGGAAGTCCCGGCACACCAGGTCTCTGCTCGGCCTCGCCAAGCTAAAGTCAAGGTGCCGGCCGGGCCAGTCCCGTTCTGGGGGCTCTGGGCAAGAATCCCCTTGCACACTCGCTCAGGCTGTTGGCCAAATTCAGTTCCTTGCGACTGTGGTTGAGACGCCCATCTGCTTGCTGGCTGTGAGCCACAGGCCTGTGTGTCTCACTTTCCTTGCTGTGGGCCCTGCACTGACTCCCGCGCGTTGACTGCCTGTCTTCTGTAGGAGGACCTGGTCCCTTTCCCAAAGCTCCCCTGATTAGACCAGGCCCACCCAGGATAAGCGCTGTGTTGTTAGGTCGACTGCCTTCACGGTGGCACATAGATTAGTGTTTGAATACTTGGGAGAAGGTATGTGTACCCCAGGGTCCTGGAATCGGGGGACCATCTGAGAATTCTTGCTACCACAGTCACTTAGCCAAGAAAGAGAGGTCCCAGCCCCCCAGACAGAGGGAGCCGCACGTGGAGAGGCTGAGGGCCAGGAGGGGCATGGGCCGGCGGGAGGCTGGAGACGGCTAGAGCGGCCGGACCGTGAGGGTCTGTGCGAGGGTCCACGGCAGCTGTCCTGTGCTGGTGCGGACAGGGACAGGCTTCCGCAGGAGCTGGTCAGACTTGGACATGCGTGTTCACTCGCTCACTCAGCTTCAGAATGGAGGACGCTTGGGGAGCGGGAGGGAGAACACGGGGGTCTCTGCTTTCCCAGATGGGGGTTGCTGCCCACCTAGGGGGGTGGCCTAGGGTAGCTGGATTTTATAGTTTATTTAATTTCACTTGAAGTTACATGTGAGTCACCACGTGCAGTGAGCGGCTGGCGTGTTAGGTCAGCACTGGACACGCGTGGGAAGAAAGGGGAGCCGCGTGTTTGGAGGCCCGCTGGGTGCCTCACACGCCGCGCATTGCCCGCCCGCGCTGCGCACTGGGAGGCAGGGCCGAGGCCGAGCTGCGGACGAGGCAGCCAAGCCAGTGGCTGGGCACTTTCTCCGAGGCCGAGCTGCCCGGCCGGCCCGTCTGGCTGCGGGCCGGGCTCTTCCCGTCCCCCTTCCTGGGGCCACACGGCGGGCGGCAGGCGCGATGGGGGAGACGGAGACGTTTGCACTGAGAGGACTCAGTGGAGGTGGGGGTGGCAGATGGCGGTGGGGAATGAAGCAGCCTGCAGAGCGACCCTGCCAGCCGCCGGACGGTCACGGGCCTGAGACGCTGGGGCTGTCCCTGCAGGACTGCGCACCGAGGGCCTGTTCCGGAGATCCGCCAGCGTCCAGACGGTCCGCGAGGTGCAGCGGCTCTACAATCAAGGTGAGTCGGCTTCCAGAGACCCTGCCCTAAGCCTCCTGCCCTCCGGGGCTCAGAGCCCCGATACCCAAGGCAGCATAGCTCTGTCCCCCGACCCCCAGCACAGCCCAGGGCCGGGGCAGAGGCCCAGGTGAGTCCCGTGGCAGCCTCCCGGGGCAGGTGGTCCCACGATGCCATCCTGCTCTCAAGGCTTCACGCCAAGCAGGTGGGCAGGTGCTTTGTGAAGGCCCATTGGGCAGCAACTCGGCGGCTCAGCGCTTGCTCTGGTACCGGGGCGCACCCTGCAGGCAGGGGACACGGAGTGAGAGCCCAGCACAGCGCCGTGACATCAGCCAGGCAGACAGCTCACTTACAAGGGGTTCCCCTGTACTCTGCTCCTTTGTCCTTTGCAGAGTCACATGTGCACTCAGACGGCAGGGCGGCTCTGGGCACTTGCGGGCCAGCCCTTCTCAGCCCCGTGTGTGGGCACCGGGGACACTGAGAGCCAGGGCCCCCCATCCCAGATGGCACCAACCACGCAGCAGAGAAATCGATCACATGCCCCAGCCTCAGCAGGTGGCCTGGAGACGCAGAGCAGGGTGGGGTGTCAGCACCCCCACTTCCAGAGGACAGAGTTGTCCCCCAGACACGTCACTCAGCATAAGACTCTTCCTTGCGGGAGGTTTAAAAATTTTTTTCTTTATTGATTTTAGAGAAAGAGGAAGGGAGGGGAGAGGGAGAGAAACATCGATGAGAGAGAACATCGACTGGCCGCCTCCTGCACGACCCCCACTGGGGATCAGGCCCACAACCTGGGCGTGTGCCCTGACCGGGAATCGAAGCGGCGACCTCTTGGTGCGGGGTCGACGCCCAAGCACTGAGCCGCACCGGCCGGGCCCCGCGGGAGGGTTAAGCCACTGCCGCAGAGCCCGTTCTGAAGCAGGAATCCGCAGCCCAGAGTCAACTCAGACGTACGCTGCTCTGTCCAGGGAAGGCCGTGAACTTTGACGACTATGGAGACGTCCACGTCCCCGCTGTGGTCCTGAAGACCTTCCTGCGAGAGCTGCCCCAGCCGCTGCTGACCTTCAAGGCCTATGAGCAGATCCTTGGCATCACCAGTACGTACCCACCCAGGGGCGCCCGCCAAGGGCCAGGAAGGGGCCGCCCCCACCTGGACTCTGCCAGCCTCAGCCAGGCCACCAGCGTCCACGGTGGGCTGAGCAGCAGGGTGGCCAGGGGTGAGCTCGGCGCGGTGCCTGGCACACAGGAGGAGCCGCGTACACGGTGGCTTGTGACAGTCAGTGAGCGGGTCCCTGCTGCTCGCCTGAGGGTGTTCTCTCTGGAGGGCCCGCCGTCAGAGCTGGCGGTGGGCCTCGTGCTGGGAGCCACTGGGGGGGACCGTGTTCTTAGAAAGACGAGGTGAGGCTGGAAAGCTGGGTTCCAGGACAAGAGGGTGAGCTCCAGGCTCATCGGTTCCGCAGAAATACTCATTTCACGGGAACTCCGTGCTCATTTAAATTGTCCAAAACAGCTTGTTTTCCTGAAAGAAAAGAACGTTCATAGTAGGGGAGTCTGTGTCTTTCAGCCGTGGCTGGGCTTGTAAATCAGTGTTTATGGCGACCCCTCCCGAGGGTAGCGGGAGGTCGGCACGCCCGAGGACTGGGGCATGAGAGTGTGTGTGAGTGTGCGTGTGTGAGTGTGCGAGTTTGCATGCATGTGTATATGAGAGTATGTGTGCATGTGTGTTACATGCCAGTAAGCGTGTGTGTGCATGTGTGTGACAGTGCGTGTGTGTGCATGTGTGGGTATGCATGTGTGAGTGCGTGAGTGTGATAGTGTGTGTGCAAGTGTGTGTATGAGTATGCGTGAGTGTGTGAGTGTGTGTGTTGGAGTCTGTGGGTGTGCTTCCGTAATGAGGACTGCGTGTGGATTGGTGAGTTTTGACCTAAAGTTTGCAGAGCTCAGGGGGGATGTAGTCAGGAGGGAACTGGGGGTGTCAGAATCCGGGACAGCACATCCAGCCCCCTGGTCGGTGTGGGGACCTGAGCTACCGGGGATCGTAAGGGGTTACGTTGGTCGACAGCAGGGTCAGCACACTTTTCTGTAAAGGGCCAGATGGCAGATATTTCTGGCTTTGTGGGCCAGACTCAACTCTGCAAAGGCAGCTGTAGGCAGTGAATGACTGTGGCTGTGCCAATAAAGCTTTGTTGATAAAAGTAGGCCATTTGGCCCCCAGACCCTTGGGCTGTAGTTTGCCGGCCTCTGGCCGAGACGTCCCGTCTGTACAGTGATCAGTCCCTGGGAGGCAGTAGCCACGCTGCCCGAGGGAGCAGCTGGGAGAGAGGGTTTGCTGAGAACAGCCGCATGGCCCCGCGGGGGGACCTCTGCTCCCTGCACCCGGCCTCCCCTCCGAGGACTCAGCGAGGACCCTCACGCCATTGCAGGCGTGGAGAGCAGCCTGCGGGTGACCCGCTGCCGCCAGATCCTGCAGAGCCTTCCGGAACACAACCTCGCCGTCCTCAGCTACCTCATGGGCTTCCTGCACGAGGTGAGCGGCAGCGCCCACACCCACCAGGGCCTTTGAACTCCCCTGGCCCCCGCGGCAGCGCCCACACCCACCAGGGCCTTTGAACTCCCCCCGGCCCCCGCGGCAGCGCCCACACCGACCAGGGCCTTTGAACACCCCCCAGCCCCCGCGGCAGCGCCCACACCGACCAGGGCCTTTGAACACCCCCCAGCCCCCGCGGCAGCGCCCACACCGACCAGGGCCTTTGAACACCCCCCGGCCCCCGCGGCAGCGCCCACACCCACCAGGGCCTTTGAACACCCCCCGGCCCCCGCGGCAGCGCCACACCCACCAGGGCCTTTGAACACCCCCCGGCCCCCGCGGCAGCGCCCACACCGACCAGGGCCTTTGAACACCCCCCAGCCCCCGCGGCAGCGCCCACACCGACCAGGGCCTTTGAACACCCCCGGCCCCCGCGGCAGCGCCCACACCCACCAGGGCCTTTGAACACCCCCCGGCCCCCGCGGCAGCGCCCACACCCACCAGGGCCTTTGAACACCCCCCGGCCCCCGCGGCAGCGCCCACACCCACCAGGGCCTTTGAACACCCCCCGGCCCCCGCGGCAGCGCCCACACCGACCAGGGCCTTTGAACACCCCTCACCCGCCCCCCGCGGCAGTGCCCACACCAACCAGGGCCTTTGAACTCCCCCTGGCCCCCGCGGCAGCGCCCACACCCACCAGGGCCTTTGAACTCCCCCTGGCCCCCGCGGCAGTGCCCACACCCACCAGGGCCTTTGAACTCCCCCTGGCCCCCGCGGCAGCGCCCACACCCACCAGGGCCTTTGAACTCCCCCTGGCCCCCGCGGCAGCGCCCACACCCACCAGGGCCTTTGAACACCCCTCACCCGCCCCCCGCGGCAGTGCCCACACCGACCAGGGCCTTTGAACTCCCCCTGGCCCCCGCGGCAGCAACCACACCCACCAGGGCCTTTGAACCCCCCCTGGCCCCCGCGGCAGCGCCCACACCCACCAGGGCCTTTGAACTCCCCCCGGCCCCCGTGGCAGCACCCACACCAACCAGGGCCTTTGAACAACCCCTGGCCCCGGAGGACTTCACCCGAGGCCCGTCAGGCAATAAGTCCACTGAGAGACCGTGCCACCGGCCAGGCCACCATGCCCACCCCTGCCACACCGCACCGGCTGCTCTCGGTTGATGCCCATGACCTTTATTGGGGGCCTCTGCCCCCCAGTCGTCTCCTGAGCAGGGGCAGTCCTGGAGAAAGGGGCTGGGTGGTGCCAGGGGCCATGTTCGTGCCCGTGGGGCTAGCACCCCCACCTGCGGGGACCTGAGTCCTCCGGAGTCAGAGGAGTCTGGGGGAGGCTGAGGGCTCCTAGGAGACTATAGAAGGTCAGAGCCAGAGGGTCCCTCAGGGCATCGAGGTCAATCCCTTCCTTTTACAGATGGGGAAACTGAGGCCTGGAGCAGGGCGGTGGCAACACAGGGTCCAGCACTGGCTCCCACCCAGTGCTGTCCCCACCGCACAGGACCCCAGGTCACCCGTCTCACGTGTGTCTTCCAGGTGTCCCGGGAGAGCCTTTGTAACAAAATGAACAGCTCCAACCTGGCCTGTGTCTTCGGGCTGAACTTGATCTGGCCGTCCCAGGGGGTGTCCTCCCTGGGCGCCCTGGTGCCCCTGAACCTGTTCACCGAACTGCTGATCGAATACTACGGAAAGATCTTCAGCGCCCAGGACGCCCACGGGGAGCGGGGGGCCGGCCCGGCGGGGGCAGGAGAGCAGGGCGGCCCCTTCGCCAGAGGCCTCGCCGCGCCCGCCGAGCCTCGGTCCCCTGGCAGCCGCCGGGAGACTCCCCTGGTGCTGGAAATGTCACGCTGAGGTCTGTCCGTCTGCACACGTGTGTTTTGTAAACTTGCCATTAAAAGACCTCCTGGTGAGGCTGCCAGTGACAGTACCAGGTCCTGGTCCTTCGGTCCCCCTTCCCCCTCCCCACCTTCCCGAGCTGTGGGCGGAGTCAACTCCACGTGGCCTAAGTAAACGTGGGCGTTTTCGGTCCAGGGCCTTGTGCCCGGCAGCCACTGCTGCTGCGTTACAAACCCGTCACTTAAAATAGCAGCTGCTGTCAGTCGGTCAGCTGGGCGGTTCTGGTCTTGTGGGAGCTTTAGGAGGCTGAACCGGGTGCGTTCCCACAACGGAGGCAGAGGGGCCGGCGGCAGAGGGGCCGGCGGCAGAGGGGCCGCCACTCTGGTTGCTGTCCTGTGTGCCCGTGCCCTGGGGCCGAGGCGGATCACAGTGGGAGGCTCTGCAGTTATTTGCAAAGGGGTGGCTGTGGGGAGGGTGGAGAATTGGGGCGGTAAAGGGGGTGGCCTTCCGAGGGCCCCAGGACGTTCCGGCCCTGCAGTCCTGGCCATTCCAGGAGCAGAGCGTATGGAGCCCGGTCATGGGTGCTGGGAGGACACTGCTGCCCATGGAATGTGTCTGCCTTGGGAGAGGACAACTCCCGTCCTCAGGGTGGGCGTGGCTGGTGGCCGCGGTGCGTCCCTCCTGCAGGGGTCAGAGGACAATGACATGGGAATGCAGGGCCACGGGCTGGCGAGGACACTGCTGCCGCCCCCTGCGGGGCCCCTGCTGTGTGCCGGGTGGCGCTGCCGACCTTCCCGCCTGCTGCTTGAGCCCTGTGGCAGCCCAGCTGAGCAGGTGTTCTTGGCTGGGGCCTGAGGGGCTTAAGTGACACCCCTCTTCCCGGCCCGAGCGCAGAACACTGAGGAGAGGCCAACTTAGACGTCCGCTGGCAGAGCTGACCAGAGACCTGCCTTAGGTCTGTGGCCAGACCATGTCCCCTGTCACCCTGACCTCTGAAAACTCACCACCTGGCCCACCCTGAGGTGTGAGCTAGAACTCACGTCCCCCTGCTGGCTCCTGAAGGACGCCACGCCCTCTCCCAGATGAGCCAATCAGAACATTCCCTCCTCCTCCCAAGGGAGGGGTGAGGGTGGGGAGAGGTGCCTGGAGTATTAATTCTACCTGATGAAGCCCCCCCCTCCCCCAGCAGATGGGTCTGCAAATACCAACCTGGAGGCCCAGCGACACACAGGGACTTGTTCAAAATCACACAGCCAGTGAGCACAGAGCTGGGGGATTCGGCCCCGCGCAGCCCAGGCTTGGCCACCTTCAGGAAGCTGTGGAGCCACGAGGAGGGATCTGGGCCTCTGTCTCCCCATCTGTACCATGGGGCGATCACACTGCGTGCCCCCAGCTCCGGGAACACCGGCTCAGACACCACGGGGCCTTGGCCAGAATCAGCTTCCCCGCGTGTCTGGGTGAGCCTAGCCTACGCGCCTGATCCCGTCTGAACAGTCGAACGACCCAGCCTGGGCACCGAGTGTTGCGCCACACACGCTTTGGGACCTTTCCTGGTTGGACCGGAACCATCTAGATCTTTGGTTTAAAGCAGGTGTTGGTTTCCCCCAGATGGCCATACAGGGTCCTCAATCTGCACCTCCCAGCAGGCACCCCTCCCGTGACTGCCGCTGTCCTGAGCAGAGGGCAGAGGTGTGCAGGTGCCCCGGAGCCCACAGACTTTGAGGGGCTCCGGCCCCTGCTCCCCCCGTGCCAGCCTCACCGAGCCGGGCGGCCGGGGCCTGTGCCCTCCCTGCTGTGGGCTCCAGCAGAGAGCTGGGCATCTGGGGCCCAGGCCCTGCTGGCGTGAGCGTCTCCCGGCCTGTCTGCCCCACCTCCGCTCCCTCGTGGGCCCCCGCGACCCCTCTCTCCGCTTCTCGTTCCCCGTTCTAATTGTTGCTAATCTCCTCGTGCACCTTAAAACCGATGGTTTCATTTCTTTATTCTGCTACAAACCCTTTCCCTTCCTTTCATTCTTTTTTAAAAACACAACCCTAGCCTTGGCCAGTTTCGCTCAGCGGTTAGAGCGTCAGCCCGTGGACCAGAGAGACCCGGGTTCGGTTCCCGCTAAGGGCACGTACCTCGGTTGCAGTTTGTCCCCGGCCCTGGTTGGGGTCATGTGGGTGGCAGCCACTCGATGTGTCCCTTTCATGTCGATGTACACCCCCCCCCCACTCTATCTGAAGAAAAATGCAAGAATGTCCTCGGGTGAAAAAACCCCACAACCCTCCAGCTTTGACCAACCAGCACAGGGAGCCCAGACCAGGCCTGAAGGGGGGTCCCCAGGACAGCTTCAGTCAAGCCCGAGGACAGCCCCCCCGGCCCCCTCTGGGAGGGCTGCCTCCCCGCACCCCCACGCAGGTGTCCTGTGCTCACTGGCTCACATCCCTGAAGCGGCCTCCGTTCTGGTGCAGGGAAAGTCTGAAATCAGACTGATGGCTCCCTCATGCCCTCACCGCCATGAACCCCCGAGGTCACCACCTGGAATCAGATCTCGTGCATCGTGCAGAAAGGGTCTCCGTGCAGCCCGCCTCGGGTTCTCGGGTGCCGAGAGCAGGCGGCCCCCTGGGGCGCCCGGGACTGGACTCGGGGTCAGCGAGGGGTGGCCCGCCACCCTCCGCGCAAAGCGCCCTCTCGCCTGCGTTCCGTCCGCGGCGGACGCGAGTGGTGTCGGTGTTTAGGTCTTGGAAACATGGTGCCTTTCAGCCGAACGCGACGGAACCTGCTGCGGAAACGGAGGCTCCGGGGTGTCTCTGTTTATTCAAACATCCACCTGTGCAGACATGACAGAGACTTTAAGTGGCTCCGGAGAGTAGGCAGCTGCAGTGTCGCTGGTCCCCACCAGTGACAGACCCTGTCCAGAGCACAGTCTGAAACAAAGCAAGAGGTCCGTCTGTCCCCAAAGAGGGCCTCGCTGCCGTCCCGGGGGGAGCCAGGACCAGGCGCCCCGCTTCTGGGAACAGCTCAGAGTCACAGCTGTGTGACCCTAGGCGAGTCATCTCACCTGGCGGGGGGAGTCCCAGCTGGGAAGGCTCAGCATGGGTTTCTGTCCCGCACTGTGGGTGTGTGACCGGGCAAAGTCCTTTGATCCTTTCTCTGTTCATGTAATGGGAAAGGCAGTTCCCTGTGCTTGCAAACACCTGCTTCGGCCCAGCTGCTGTGGCTCCGTGGTTGAGCGTCAACCCCTGCACCCAGAGGTCGCTGGTTCGATTCCCGGTCAGGGCACATGCCCAGGTTGGGGCCCGATCCCCAGTGGGAATTCCCAGGAGGTGGCCAATGGATGTTCTCTCTCATCAATGTTTCCATCTCTCTCTCTAAAATCAACTAAGAGAACAATGTATGAAACACCTGCTTTGCCCTGGACAGTTTGGCTCAGCGGTTAGAGCGTCGGCCTGCGGTCCAGAGAGACCCCGGTTCGGTTCCCGCTAAGGGCACGTATGTTGGTTGCAGTTTGTCCCCGGCCCTGGTTGGGTTGTGCGGGTGGCAGCCACTCGATGTGTCCCTTTCGCGTCGATGTTTCTTTCTGTCTCTCTTCCTCTCTCTCCCTCCCACTCTACCTGAACAGAAAATGAAAGAATGTCCTCAGGTAAAAAAAAACAAAAACAAAAAAACACCTGCTTTGTACCAGGTGGTGCCCAGCTCTCAATTTACAGAGGCAAGCAGGATACACCTCCTGCCCACCAGGGGTTTGAGGGACCGTTGGGGAGAAAACAAGCAAAGAAATGCCCAGGGTCACTGTTTTCAGAGCTAAAGCAGAACACAGGCCGGTGCCGGAGGGAGGAGGCAGAGGAGAGGGTCACAGGCACCTCCCGGTGTTTTGGCTTGAGCTGTGCGGCCAACTAAGGGCGCCGCTGTCCCCCAGGTGGAGGTTGCTGGGGGCGGGGAGAAGTGGCTTCTGCTGTTGGTTTGACAACAAGACTCTTTAAGGTTTGTTATAACAACAATAACTGCTTGGGGCGGGGCGGGGATTCAATGACAAACTAAGAAAAAAGAAAATAAAAATCACTTGAAATTCTACCACCTGTAGGTAACCGTTGTTAATTTGAGGACAGGGCACGTTCACGTCCTGCCAGTGGGGATGTCAATTGTGACGAGCCCTTTAAGAGCAAGTCCACAAGCTGCCCCAGGTGCAGCTGGCCCGGCCATCTCGTGTCCCGGGAGCTGACGGAGAGGTGGGTGCCGTCGGCACAAACAGGTGCAGGCAGCCTGCGTGCCGGGCAATGGGAGGGTGGCTGGGAAATCGGTGTCGCAGCCTGTGGTTGACCGGCGTCCTGCAGTTAAAGCGAGGACGCTGGGCCTGTGTGTTTCCACGCGGCCACAGGATGATCGCTCCTGCGGAATGAGCGCTCCCCACTCCTGCACAGAGTCTGTGAATTAGCCAGTGTTTTGTTTTGTTTGTTTTTTTATCCTCACCCGAGGACATTTTTGCATTTTTTGTTCAGACAGAGCGGGAGGGAGAGAGAGGAAGAGAGAGAGAGAGAAACATTGACGTGAAAGGGACACATCGAGTGGTTGCCACCCACACGACCAACCAGGGCCGGGGACAAACTGCAACCGAGGTACGTGCCCTTAGTGGGAACCGAACCCGGGTCTCTCTGGTCCGCAGGCCGACGCGCTAACCGCTCAGCCAAACCGGCCAGGGCGAAAAGGGAACTTTTCAAAAGTGCACAGGAAGGTGACAGACCCAGTTCCCCACGGAGAGGAGCAGTCGGATCTGTAACTACGTCTGTGCTGGTTTCTGTCTGCACGGGGTCCGCCCAGGGTCCCACCTGCCGCAGGGCTGAGGAACTTCTGTAGGGCTCGGCCTTCCACGGACAACACCTGAGAGCTCTGGACAAATGGAAAGACCGAAGGTAAACACATCAGCAGTGACTTGAGGGCACTGGAGAACGAACCAAGGCGGGTTCTGGAGGGAAGGTAACGCTCGAAAGCATACAGCGTAAGATAAACTTCCGTTACGTGGCTTTTATTTTTTATTT